TGTTGATACTGAGCAGTCATTAGACAAGACACTTTACCTGTAACAGTAATGCAAAATGTAAGACTTTACACAGACATCCAGTCACTGAAAAAATTAATTTGAAAGAAAAATGCTGCATTATCCACTAGGCCTGTAACGATAATCAATAAATCGATTAATCTTACGATAACTTTTAACGAGCTCAATAACTTTTCCGGCCGCAATAAATTCTATTTGCAGCTTGTTTGTTTTCCTCGCTCTCTCGCTCTCAAAGAGACTGAATGTTAGAAGGCTTCTATCGCTCTCTGACTCTTCTCATTTAACAAGCATAAAGACGCTTGAACCAACGTGCGCTGTGTTTATCAACACAGCGGATGCGCGCGTCGTCTGAGTGCTTTCTGCAAGTGCAGAAAGTGCCGCTGTCTGTCTCGACGCCGAATCAACACTGGTGAGTGGGACAGTTCTCAACAGCCACGTGCGTCAAATGCAGCGAGCGCACAAACAACGATATAAACCCAAACCCGAGCGACAGAACTAGCCTAGCGCCCGGTAGAGCCCGAAATCCCGAAACCGAACCGACACGACACCAGACAGGACAGTGGCTCCCTCATAGCTAAATAACATCCTGTGTCGCGGGTTCATACAAACACTTCAAGACCAAAATGACGAGGCCACAGCAGCAGCCACAGAGACGAGACACAATATTCCAATGTAAGTCAGTGACTAAAATAACTTTTAAGGACAATTTTGTTACAGAGACTTAATAATCCATTTTATTTATTGCTTTGGTTGTATTTGGTTCAACAATGGTTTATTAAAGTGCATTTTTGTCAACAAGTCCTCACTGTGAGCCAGACACTTTAGGCTAGTCCTGTGTTAAGTCTGTTTTATTTAGGCCTGTTGTTTTTGGTTGTCTGTGTTAAATGTTCTTTAGAAAGTCAAGTTTATTGATCATTGAGAGGATGTATTTGCATTTTTATTCCATGGTCATTATATTATTTGAAATTGGTCTCAAAATGTCAATATTATAATTTATTGCAATAAATTCTTGGTCAATTAATCGTCCAGCAAAATTTGTTATCGTTACAGGCCTATTATCCACAGCCACATTCTGTTCTGTTCTATATGTCTTTTTAATGATTTTACTTGAGTATTTTCTCCTGCTCCAGCACAATCTTCTGCCGAGTGTTTTGCGGACAGATCTAACATCATGTGGATAACAGTAAATGGGTGACTCCCAAATGAAAACTTAATGAGTTTGAGTTTCACGGAAATGGCCATCACTTATTCCATCATTAGCCCCAATTATGCAGCATCCAGGGACTGAGCGAGCGTTTAGTGACCAGCTAAGAGCCACACGATCACATGTTCATGCCCCGGGGGACGTCCACACCCTAGGTCCTCAGTCCCGACACTATCTGACTGAAAACAGTTCACGTTTAATCTAAGGAGGGAGATGGGACTGATGATGAGTCTGAGGCACAAAGTAAGGTATTAAGGACTTATATTTTGAGTAATTTTGTGAAGAAATTGGATTTGAGTAACATTATGAAGTAACAGCACAGGGGATACGCAAATGCAAAGACTTAAAACTTAAAAGCCATTAGCAACAAAAATAATAAACAGATCTATTTTTGTCTTTCCATGTATCATTGTTCATGTAGGTTTAGGTTACATTTACACTGAAACGAATCACCGTATGGGAAACATTTTGCGTCCAGACACGTCATTTCTGTGTCCACAAGCCTTCCCTATCCACACAGGTTTGGGCATATGTGAGAGACGTGATCAATTAATTTACAGTTACACATGATTGTTGTATGAAAGACTTGATTAATTAATTTACAGTTCTACGTGACTGTGGTGAATTAATGTACACTTTAATTGTTTTGAGGTTCATTGACACCCCCCCTATTGTTTTTATGGTGTTATTATTTTAAATTCTGAATGTTGTTGTTTTTACGAGATGTATTTGAACCCCCCGCACATTTTTTTTAGTACGTGCCTTGAACAAGACTGAAGTGTGTTTTTACCGCAGCTAGGCACGGTATGAGAACGGTTACTGTTACAGCCGATTTAATTTTTTTGTGTGTGGCTTTATAAGAAATATCCCTGTTTTTGTGCCTAAGGATCTGTAACACATATTTGTTTACGTTTTACAGAAACAAAACTTAAAACCACATGGCTCATTTGCATAAACTAAGCGCTCAAAAAACAGTTCGCTCCTTGTGCCCTGACGCGTCCGGCTTCTGTCGGACTTAAAAAGGACACGACTCAGTGGAATATATGTGTTCTTTCTGTGACAGAGAGGGTGTTCTGCTGATGGTGATTCTGTTCTGTGCAAGTAGTTCTAGCTACGCTGTTAATCATAATCACAATAAAATTTTGATTTGTAAGATAAGATAATACTTTATTGTTTCCCATGGGAGAAATATGTCTTGAGACAGGGGATCACATGCTTTATCACAAAGACAACACAACAACATAAGCACCAGAAAAACATCCACCATAGAACATAAATAAGAGACCAAGTCTGACCACGAGTGATGCACCAACAGGACCTTTAAATCACTCTTTACAGGCAAGACCTTCATAATCTTGTATTCTGTTAATAATTGTACACCCCTTAAGTAAGTATTTATTTATTTATTTATATAGCGCTTTCACAGACATTTTCTGTCCCCAAAGACGCTTTACACAGCATTATTCAGCATTATTCATTCACTCTATACCTGGTGATGGTAAACTACTATTGTAGCCACAGCTGCCCTGGGGCACACTGACAGAGGCGCGGCTGCCATGCCACTCGGCGCCATCGGTCCCTCCGACCACCACCATCACTCTCACACACACACACACACACACACACCACTTTCATACTAGGCAATGTGGGTGAAGTGTCTTGCCTAAGGACACAGTGATTGAATTGATTGTCTTAAGCCTGTGTGCAGTTTTTTTTGATTGCACTTTCCATAAGTCTTTTACTTTTATTTTTTAACTGCACTATCTGAACAAATGATAAATGCTTCAAGGCACTCAAAGTCAAGGAACCACTCACCCTGACTCACCTGTGGCTCAGTGGATCTGACCACTTAGCCAATGATACTGACGTCGAGAGCGGGATTTAAACTGCCAACCTTCAAATCTGTGAACAAACGCTCTACCAGCTGAACTACTGTTGCCCGGCCATAATTATACAACCATAATTATTCATTTGTGCGATTCATCTAATGTGAATCAAAGATCAGTTTGGGCCTTTTTAATAGAGATCTAGAGCCAGTCCTCTTATCTGACAAACTGTTCACGCTTTGGAGCAAGAAACGTGACCATGTTTTGTGTTAAACTGCACTGATTAAAAGGCATACTTCCTTACACCTGATCTGGACAGGTCCCAGAAGCTAAACAGGACGGGGCCTGGTCAGTACTCTGATGGGAAACTGCTGTCTGGGTCAGAGGGGCAAAGGGCACAGATGGGCATCCTCAGTTTCACCCATCTGTCCCAGGGCAGCTGTGGGTGCTGGTGTAGCTGAGGGTGGAGTGAATGTCGAGTATTTTGGGTGTCTTAAAAGGTGCTATAAAGGCCCATCATGATACGAATTTTTTAAAATAAATACATTTCAGAAGAAATTATAGACGACAAACTATATTGATAATACTCAATCTAATCTAAAGATGCATTGTGTAACTTTTGTGGTGGAGGGTCCGCCAAATGTTTTTCTTCATTGTGATGTTATTGCTTTGTCTGGAAAGTTTCACAGTATGATATTAAACCTTTCTATCTTCATGGAGACCAAACCAGACCAAGTTACAGGTCAGAACCGTCGAGAGTCGACATCCGCTCAGAATGTGGTATTTTTGAGCTATAAAACCACTTGTAAATGAATAAATGTAAGGTAGAGTTTAATGTCATACTGTGGAACATTCCAGGCAGAGTAATGACATCTCCATACAAACAAGCAGGTGATGGATCCCCAACCAAAACGTTACGCAATGCACTTTTAATATAAATCTCATAATTGATCTATCATATTTTTCTATTATTTCTACCCTATTATAATATAGATTATTTCCTTTTTTCTACCATATTTTTCTATACTATAAGGTGCACTTAATATCCTTTAATGTTCTCAACAATCAACAGTGCGCCTTATAATCCAGTACACCTTATGTATAAATTCTGGTTGTGCTTACTAATCTCGAACCGATTTTATGTGGTACACGGCGCTCAAAAATCTGTCAATATGTTTTAGTACGACTTTGGTAAACTACAATGCCATACTGCTTGATGCATTGTCAAAGCATTACAGCGACTGTAGTCAGGAGCCTCAAGTGGAGCCAGGGTCAGAAGGAGCCGGAAGAGCCTCCTGGCACACTTCCTATTTGGCACGTGGCAGCGAGAATGTTGGCTATGTCCACTCATATATAGTCTATGCGCAATGCACACTGCCACTGTCGCCTTGTCGCAGAAAGAACACATATATTCCACTGAGTTGTGTCTGACAGAAGCTGAATCACATCTGCACACAAGGAGTGAGCTGTTTTTCAGCTCTTATAGTTTATGCAAATTATCCATGTGGTTTTAAGTTTCATTTCTATAACGTAAACAAATGTGTGCGAAGCTGCAATAAACACATTAGAATTACGGGCAGATTACGCCTAGCCTGATTCATCAGCTGGTTTCACTTTGGTGCCTGAACTTGCACTTTCAGGCCTTTGCGAACCGTCTTACGTATTCCGATTTCTGACCTAGTTGCTGGAGAGAAATGAAACTGAGCGAAAACACTAGGTGGCACCAGCCTGGCTAGATTACGCCACGATCTGCCAATGGATCATGGACGCCTGGGCTAAGGGATCAGTCTCAAGTGTCGTCCGTTTGTTGCACTTAATGTGCCTTATAATCCGGTGCCCCTTATGTATGAAAATAGACGAGAGAATTCAACATTATTGATATTGCACCTTGTAGTCCAAAAAATACAGTATATTGCCCTTTTCTTGAACCTTCTCTGCCCCCTCACACTCACCTCCTTCTGGCAGTACTTGATGGCGAGTTTGAGGCGTGCCAGCTCATTGTTATTCTCCTCCAGCGGGTTGGCGTTGTCCTTGTAGTTCAGGATGATCTGCAGTTCCTTGGAGCTCCGCGTCTGGTCCAGTAGCTCTTTGGCGAAGCGCTTACAATTCTTGGACAGCTCCTCGTACTCCGACTTGAACTCGTTCTCCACCTGGCTCAGCTCCTTCAACTCCCAGCTGAGTTGAAATGCGGTAAGGAAGGGGTCTTCACTGGACAGTGCGATGAGGGAGGGGCTGGCCAGGGCCTTGTAGACGTTGAGGCGGGACCGTGAAGTTCGGAGCCCGTCCACGTCGCAGGAGGACATGCACTCGACGCAGGCGCAGCGCACGTCGTGGGGCTGGGGGATGGACACGCCGCGGGCCAGGAGCAGTTTGATCACCTCGTAGTTGTTGGTGTGGGCTGCGAGGATGATGGGGGTGATGTCCGGGGTGAAGTCCGAGAACTGCGTGTTCAGGAGCATGGCCGGGAGCTGGAACACAAATGTACACGAGCAGTCAAAAGTCTGGACTCATTTATTCAATTAGGAATATAACAATAACCGAAATATCATGATATTGTATCGTCAAAGTTCTCACAATAATATCGTGGTCCATCACAATATATGGAATTACAAGTCTCTTTGCTTAAATTAAGAGTTATGGTGCAGCAATAGCTAAAAAAAAGACAGAGGGAACTACATAGACCATGATCCTTTGCTCCATTTCAGTGCAGACTACAAGAAGAAATAACAGTTCTAAACACTTTTAAGTCTTAGTTCTTTGGATTAAGACTTTAAGAGGAAAAAGTAGCATATTAACAGTTTTGTAAGACTCCACAAAATATCGCAATAAATATCGTACCGTGAGGTTCATACCGTCACGAAATCGTATTGTGAGACTTGGATATCGTTACACCCCTACATTCAATGTTTTTTTTCTATATGTTACCAATGATACCAAAAAATACTCTTGGCGATTTATCGAAACAGCAGCCCACGGTAACAATACTGTATCACCAGATTTAGTGCCACAATATATATCGAAAACCTACTAGACATGTTTCCATTTCTGTTTGCAACATCTGAATAGTCCTCCTTTGCGTCTGATCTGACCAGTGTTGGAAGGTAGGAAAGTACAAAAGTAAAAGTACAATACGTGAGTACAAATTTTAGGTATCTGTACTTTACTAATTTACTAAGTAAATTTTTCAGTATAGTGGCATCTGTTCTTTCTACATGGTTGGAGACCTGCTGAAAAAGCTGAGCACAATTTGAGTTAACGTCTCGACTTTGAGCAAACCAATGCATCAAATATCAGGAAAATATCGTACCGAGAGATTTGGATACTGTTACATCGTGAACCTCCCCAGGATATCGCAATAAATATCGTACCGTGATCGTATTGTGAGACTTGAATATTGTTACACCCCTACATTCAATGTTTTTTTTCTGTATGTTCATTACTTTTGATATTTGATGTGCAGACTGAAGACATCAAATATATGAACTAAGCTGTATGGAATTATGTAACAAAGAAAAAAATATATCACAATTTTTTTAATCAAATTGTCAAATTAGCCTCCCTTTGCTTTATCGAAAATATTTAGTAGAGGATCAACACGATATAAAAACACTCAAAAACATTAAACAATCAAATAATACAAATTGTGCAAAGTGACGGATTTACTGAGCCTTAAAAGCCATTGGCTAAATGGATGTAATTCAACTATTTATTGGCCGTTTTTAGGCTCCAATCTAATCTAATCCACTTTATTTATATAGCACATTTCACAAATAGTTTCCAAAGTGCTGCACAAATACATAATAATAATAATAATAATAATATAATGATAACATAAATGCTCAGATTTAATCATACTAGTCTTGAATTAATCAAATAAAATAAGAGCAAAACCACAGAATAGCAATAAATAAATGAAATAAATAAATAAAAGACAGAGGACCACACAACGCAGTTTCAAATGTTTGAACTTTAAAAAAGCTGTTCTTAAACTAATTGAAAAACATAATTGTTACATGACACATTTCAATCATTTTTTATATTACATACATTATTATTATTACGCTGTGTGCACAATTATTAGGCAAGTGAGTATTTTGACTGATCATGATTTTTAAGCATATTCTCCAACTCCACTCAACTGTATAAACTTGAATTCTTATTGGATTTACCGTATTTTTCAGACTATAAGTCGCTCCAGCCAAACACCAGCCGAAAAAAAAAACATATAAGTTGCACCTGAATATAAGTCACATTTTTTGGGGGAAATTTATTTTATAAAATCAGAGACCAGGAACAAAAATTTCATCTTGAAAGTCAAGTTCTCGTAAAAACAATAGAACAGAGAACAACAGACTGTTAACGTCACATATGAACAGTTCTTCAGATAAACTATAACATAAACAACAGAACAGAACAAGTTTACCAAACTCTCCATCTCACTCCAAATCACTAAATCCATTCAATTCTTCATCCTCAGTGTCACTTCTGAGCAACTCCACGACCTCCGGAGGTAAATGGGGCACCACTTCCTCTTCTGTGTAGCTGTCGTCAGACTCCGCATCAGTTCCAGTTAGAATTATTCTGGCCTTTCTGAATCCGGACAGGATGATTTAAATTTTAAATGGTCAGTGGTACAGAAGTAATGGTGCGATCGACTGACATGTTACCAGACAGGACAGTGGCTCTTTCTCTTTCTTCTGCAGCCGACATGCGCAGTAGAGTTCAAAGTTACAGTAGTACAGGAGCACACAATACTAGAGCCTCTCACAGTTGTCAATGTGAAAATTTTTACATACAAGTCGCACTGGAGTATAAGTCGCAGGAAACAGCCAAACCATGAAAAAAAGTCCAACTTATAGTCCAAAAAAATACGGTAAACATATTTGGTGATGTTTTTGTCTAACAAGGGAATGTGTGGCTCAAAATCAAGGTTTGAATTAGAACCGACGATATATCGGCTGGCCGATATTATCGGCCAATATGGGCACCTGGAGATATCGGCTATCGGCTTTGCTGTTATGGGCCTATTTCACGTGGGCATGTTATACCTCGTTATAAAGCTTAAACTCTCTACATTATGTTCATTTAATCCAATTTACAGACAGATAAATCCTAATATGTGGCTCCGCATCAGTATTTATCTGCGGTGTAATTTGTCTGTGTCCGTACTGTCCCTGAACACACCACCAGAGTGACGTCACTTCACTCGCGTGTGTTTGTTTACACCCGCAGCCGTGCGCAACATTGAGATTATATCTTTTTCGGACAATCGGTTTGAGTCTGGATTAAAAGGACTTTTATTAGTGCAGACTTGTAATGTGAGGAGGAGCCTGTATGAGCTGAGTGTTGGAAATACATCGACTTTGAAGCTAGTTTAGGTTCTGTTAGCGATTAGCTGCTGTAGCTCCCGCACATAAACAGGCTGTTTTCTATTGGTCTATAGTAAAATGACTACATTGGCCGTATATTTGCTACTGGACCTGCATTGATATGTAAATGAGCTGTGAATAGACGTGTGAATGATCCACATTTATGCATATAATTAATTACCGCGGTGCGCAGCATTTACTGCTAAAGGCTAATAGCGATAGTTTACTAGCTAGGAGTTATGGGTCGGTCGCGATCGAAGCGGCTCTTAGAGCCGGCTCTTTGAAGTAAACAACGGGAGCCTGCTTCTTATTGGGAGCCGTGTTTTCTCTTTTCTCACTTTTTCTCTTCATGCCGCATGTAGACCGTAGTTTGACAGCAGCAGCGGATGAAAACGAAACTTTCAGAAATCTGCGTGTGCATAGGATAAAAAAAAGTGCATATTTGGCTGCAGTTCAGCATAAAATGAATAAACCAGGACTAATCTTGGGCTCGAGTGCAGGAGAGAGATAGAAACCGAGTCCCGACACTCAGTCCTGGTTTAGTCCTGCTTGCAACAAAGCTTGGGAGCCGAAAGAGCCAGCTGCTTTAGTGAGCCGAGCCAAAAGAGCCGGTTCTCAAAAAAAAAAAAAAAAACTGGAATACCCATCACTAGTAGCTAGAATGTGATGCAAAAATGCCATTAGACAATCTACTGTCTGTAAATATGATGTAAAGAGTCAAAATAACAATAAATGTTGCCTAAATAAACCCAATTTAGAATCCACTAGAGCCAAACCTAAGTTTTTTAATCAATTCAAGATTTACAGTGAATTTTTACATCACTAAATATATCGGTGATTATATCGGCTATCGGCAGCTCCAACTCCCATTATATCGGTTTCATATCGGCCACAACAAAATCCATATCGGTAGTTTTTGAATTATTAGGCAGCTTCTTTTCCTCAGGCAAAATAGGCCAAAAAGTTTAACTGACTTAAAAGTCAAAAATTGTAATTAAAAAAATAAAAAAATAAAATCTTTCAGAGGGATTCAGCACACTTGAAACTGCAAAGGTAGAGCAGAGCATTTTGTACATCCATATGATCACAAGTGGATGTACATGTGATCATATGGATGTACTGTACATGGCTGAGCTCATTTGAGTTAACCTGCCGACTTTAAGCAAAACAAATACACAAAAAAACAGCTACAAAAATTAAGACATCAATTGAATCACTTAAAATCAGCTGAATTACTTATCAAAATCACTACATTTGATGTTTTAATTGTTCTAAAAATCTCTGCTTTTAATAAAATACTTTGACTTTTTACTCTTAAAGTACATTTTTAAACATGCACTTTTAACCCTTTTTAGATTTTTTTTCATGTGATACTTTTACTTGAGTATTTTTTGCTCCGGTATCTGTACAAAACTGAGTACTTCATCCACCCCTGGATCTGAGTCATCTAACTGGCCGGCTCCTGTGGTTTCCCAAGAGTTACAGTCTCCAGCTCTGTACTTTCCCGACCTGTAAGACTCATGTCATGTTGTCTCTGTTCTTTGTCGCTCCAGGAATAAAACAGTACAGAGAAGTACACAAAACTCATGTCACAGTGATCAGAGTGTGCACTGAGATATGCTCTGGGAGTGTCATGTGGCTCCGTGTGTTTAAGTTCAAAAGTTATTGTCCACAGAGACTCGGTGAAAAGTGTTTTGTGTAAAAGGACATGGAGCTTACATAGTTTTTTTTTTTTTTTTACTGTGAACTGTTCATCCAGGGACTTTAAATTACGAACCTGTATCATGCTGAATTCGTGTATCATTCGGTCAATCGTTTTTCAAAATAAAACCAAAAATAAGAAAACGAAAAAAGAAAAACTATTTTCTTCATTATTTGTCTCCAAAACCAAAATGAAAAAACGGATAACGATTTGTTTTTTCAGTTTTCGATTTTGTGTTAAAATGAATAATGGAAAAAAGAGATAATAGCCATTTCCCGTTTCTGGACTTAAACTGCAAAGCTGGACTGAAACAGGACTGAACGAGGGCTGAACCAGGACTAAAACAGGTCTAAACCAGGATTGAACTAGGACTGAACCAGGATTAAAACAGGACTGAACCAGGACTGAACCAGTACTGAACCAGTACCAAAACCGGACTAAACCGGTCTCAGTCCCGGTTTCAAGTCCCGGTCTCAGTCCTGGTCTCAGTTCTGGTCTGGTCCCAGTCTCTGTCCCAGTCTGGTTCCGGTCTCAGTTTTGGGCTGGTCCTGAGACTGAACCAGGATTAAAACAGGACTGAACCAGCACTGAACCAGTACTAAAACAGGACTAAACCAGTCTCAGTCCCAGTCTCAGTCCTGGTCTCAGTTCTGGTCTGGTCCCAGTCTCAGTCTCAGTCTGGTTCCGGTCTCAGTTCTGGGCTGGTCCTGATCACCCAGTCTACGCGGGCACACATCCGGGCCCATCCCGATAGTCCTAGGTCAGTCCTGGCTGGTTCAGTCCTGGTTCAGTCCTGGTTCAGTCCGGCATCACAGTTTAAGTCACGGAAACAGAAAACAGTCGTTATCCATTTTTTTCCTTTTTTCATTTAAACACAAAATCAAAACCTAAAAAAAATAATCGTTATCCATTTTTTCATTTTGGTTTTAGAGACAAAAAAAAGGAAGAAAATAATTTATTTTCAGTTTTCTTATTTTTGGTTTTATTTTGAAAAACAAATGAACGAATGATACACAGATTTTGCTGTTTTCTGATCTATGTACTGTTTCCTCATCACAAACCTGGAGAGATTTAAAAAAAATATTGAAATCATAATTACTGCAATTTCTACAAAATTCTTCCTTGAGAAATACTATTTACTACGCTTTTGTTGAACAACACACATTTATGAAATAGAAAAAAAGTTAAAAACATGATCTTATTTTGTTCGATCAGAGCCAATCGGAGGCTGGACTGAGCGTCTGCAAGTGTCTCTAATTGGATGGACTGTGATCAGGCTCAGAACAGTGAGCTCCGGCTAATGGCCTGTGGTTCGGATGCATCAAATAGCTCCAAGAAGCCTCCCGTATGTTTGTGTGGCTCCTCACATATTACAGCCCGGAGTAAAACAGATTTACAAAGATGACGCACGCAGAGCAGCAGAAGAAACGACTTTAGTGTAACTTTAGTGAGGACGCCCACTGGGTGACTTCAAAGTGTGGAGCTGGTGCACAGAGGACACAGACTAAAATATTCACCAAAACAGTCACACTGAAAGAGAGATTTGTCTTTTGGCAAAATGCCTCTTGATGGTCTAGGAAATTATGTTTTCTGCTTTTAGAATTTACGGATTTGTTCTCCAGTAAAAGATTTTGAAACAGTCTACGTTCAAGGTGACTAATGTGTCAGGCTTTAACGACCTTTTCGTTCTTTAAGCACATTGTACAGTTGATTCTGAATCACAAGCCTAAGGCCTTGTCCACACTAGAGTTTGACGTAATTAGTAGACTAATCAATAATTAATTATTAAAGGTTGTATGGAGGATTTTTTTTGTTTCAAATTGTCAATGATAGCATTATAGAGATGCAATAGCCTTGTAATTATGATGACCAAAAAAAAGAGAATAAAAATTCATCAACTCTGGACGTGGTGGGGCTAAACATTTGCCAATAGATAACGACACTGCCTCGTTATCTGTGAGCTGACAGGCTGTCAATCAAACTCCCTACGTTTCTAGCGTAACTGACTTGCCTGCGCGCTGCCATTACGTGGTTTACGTACGCCTGTCACGCAGTCCACAGACGCAAGACGCACAGACGCTGTTTACTCCACCAATGCAACAGTTCTTAGCGGCTTTTTTGACCTATATCTTCCTCGCAGTTCGCACAAAGTTTGTTGCAATGGCGACAAGAATCCAGGAGCAGTTCGCCGCAAAAGAAAGTCCGTTTTTGAGGTCGCTGAAAGAAGAAGACAAGGGGAAAAGCAGCGAAGCCAAACTAAGGTGATTCTTGGAGATTCATTCCAGCGATGGCGCGACTGAAGCAGACGCAGGGTCTAAAGACTGACGCACTGGTCGCCAAATTACTCCTGGACAGGAAACTTCTGCTTATTATGAAAACTTGCTTCATTTCCAAGAGCTAGACAAACGTTTTTCAGGACACGAATGCGATATCCTATGTCTGAAAACGTAATTTTCAATGCAAAGAAAGAGTCCGCTTGCTGTTGCGTGTTGTAGTAGTAGCTTCATTCGCACTGAATCTCCACGCACCCTTCTCTGCACCCCTTCCTGCTCCTGTCCCCGCTCCCCGTTCCGCTCTTCTCCCTGCTCCTCACTTCTCCGCCTTGCCTAACCAACGCTGTAGTTAGTTGTTTACAAGTCATGTGCTGCGATGAGTACTTGTTTTTCTACGTAGGAGCTGTAGGGGAGGGGGGGTGGTTTCACGCATGCGCAACATTTGAAAAAGGACAAACAGTCGCTGGATTTCTCGTTCCTTGGAAAATCCTCTATACAACCTTTAAGAATTTCGTCGATTACGTTCATTTCTAATCTATGTTATTAGGTTCTTTTTTTCAGACCAAGAGTTTGTTTTCATACCTGACAGTTTCGACTGCTCACTAGCGCTCTTCTTCAGAGTCACGTGATGTTTCTGTGACGTGTCCGGTCAGCTGATTTATACAGGTTTTGGCGCTGTCGTCCTGCCTCCACCGGTAGGAAGACAGTGGTATGATCAGAATTGGTGAAGTTTCTCATTTGACTTCGTGTTTAGACAAGTACAGCAGAGATGACATAATATGTAAAGGTAATCCCACTGTTACCTAACAACCATAGTGTAAACGAGGGGCAAACTTCCAGGATTGCGGGAAATGGCACTGGACTGTCCTGCCCTGAGACCCATCTCCAGATCTGGATCAGGATCTACAGTACAACGAGCTGGAAGAATGTTTAGAATACCCACAGGAAGCCCACCCTCACACAGGCCCAACACAGTCCGGGAATCAAATCTGAGACAGTCTGGCAGCAAGGCAAGAGTGACCCGACCACTGTGCCACTGTATCAAATAGGACTACCTTATTTTCTGGGCTATAAGGCGCGTTCTTGAGCCTCTAACCCTATCAAAAAACGACCACGCGCCCCACAATCCAGAGCGCCCTATACACGAATCCACTCGGGTGTCCCAGCACGACTTCAGTAAACTACAAAGCCGCAAACACACACGGAGCAGACAGCGACCGCATGGCGAAAAACACCCGCAGACACACTCATCACTCCACCTGGACGAGGAACGAACCAAAAAAGCGAGTGCAATGTGCCGCTTCTAGACACAACTGAACAACTGACGTCCAGCGAGTCCCACACGCCACATGAACAAAGCCAGAGTCACCGTGAACAAACAAAAAACCACTGACCCATCCAACTGTTGTGTTTCGTTTAAAGTCCGGTGCGGTTTATTTGTGAAAAAAGTTCGAAAATAGACCATTTAATGACAGTGCACCTTATAATCCAGAGCAACTAATAGTGCGGAAAATACGGTAACTTGGGTCCACCTTCATGTATGATAAACTATTTGGGGGTTTTTGGCTTGTTTTCTATGATTTTCATACAGTGTCTCCTCTAGGGATGTGCAAAAATATCGAAATATCGTGATACCATATTTGATAGTACAATATCGTTATCATGGGCTGCTGTATCCATATATCACCATGAAATTTTTACCTCACCATTTTGATTATTATTTTTTTTATATATTTCTGCTGTCACTGTAGCACTGCTTTTTGAGACGAGAGTTTCTCAAAAATGTTCCCGTCTGCACTTTAATCCAATCTAAAAACACTGGAAAAACAAAATATCAGATCAGATCTTTTTCAGGATGTGTGCACAATCTTGTGGTAATTTTGTCTCATGAGATCTTGTGGCACGAGATCTTGTCCCATCCCAAACATGAAGTGGTTTAACAGATATTATTTATTTAATATTATTGCTAAAATGGATTTGGTTCTTAAATAACAGTAACATATTACAGAGTATAGGCGGATAGGTCTGTGCGGCATGGTTTAGTCCTGATTTAGTCCTGGTTTAGTCCTGGTTTAGTCCTGGTTTAGCTTTGATTTTAGACCTGGTTTAGACCTGATTTTAGTACTGGTTTTAGTTTTGGTTTAGTCCTGATTTAGACCTGGTTTAGACCTGGATTTAGTTGTGGTCTAGTTCTGGTTTAGTCCTGTTTTAGACCTAGTTTATACTTGATTTTAGTCCTGGTTTTACTTCTGGTTTTAGTCCTGATTTAGTCCTGGTTTAGTCCTGATTTAGTCCTGGTTTAGACCTGATTTTAGTGCTAGTTTTAGTTCTAGTTTAATAATGGTTTAGTCCTGGATTTAGAACTGGTTTAGACCTAGTTTAGACCTGGTTTAGACCTGGTTTAGACTTGATTTTAGTCCTGGTTTAGTCCTAGTTTAGAGGAGCGGGAAACACATGAAGAGGCAGTATATCAGTTGTCACATGTATCGCCATATCGTGATAATATCGTATCGTACTGAATCTCGAGTGACCGCGTGATTCCCGGCCCTCGTCCCCTCCGTACCTGATGCTCTCCGCGTGGCTTCTTATGGTTCAGCAGCAGCTCCACGGCACCCACCACCTCCTTGCGGATGGCGTGGAGCAGGGCGTCGCCTATGTGCACGTCGAAGCTCAGCAGCAGGTCGATCATCTCCAGGTTCTCGTTCTCGATGGCGATGAGCAGAGCCGTCCTGCCCAGGGGGTCCACGCAGTTGATGTTGATCCTGAAGTAGATCTCGGCCTCCTCCAGGGCCTGCTTCACCGTGGCGTAGTCCCCGCGCTCCACGGCCCCCAGATAGGCCTTCTCCAGCGCCGACAGCTCGGCCTCGGCGCGGATCACACGCAGAGGGATGCGGTCGCGGTAAGACGTGGTTTCCACTTTGCGGTAGTACAGGGACATGGCTGCGGGACATGGGAGTCTGGAGATAGAGAGAGAAAAGGTCAGATATTACACAAAGTTGATTCTTGTGAAGTTTAAACCATGTTATAATGTTGTTACCTCGTCAAAAATATACATAGAGTTGTGTTTTAGTTGGGGGCAGGGAGGTTAACGTGTTAATTTTGCGTTAACTAATTAATTCATCATCGCCAACAATAATTTTTTTCCGGTTTCACTGTGCATATGACTGAAAGGTTTTAATTCAGCACTGTTCTCTTTAATTTGTGTCTCTTTTTTAATTTTAATCTTTATGATTATTTATGTTTTGATTTGTTTTTATTATGATTTTAATGTATTTCTTATTCTGTAAAGCACTTTGAATTACTTTGTGTACGAATTGTGCTATAAAAATAAACTTGCCTTGCCTTGCCTTTAATGCAGTTTTTATTATTCATTTTTTAAATTGTAAACATCTGGCTTTTATTTTGAAAAAAAGACCACCGCGAGTGAGCCAAGAATGTTGCTTACTGCCGCGGCGCTCACAAAAAACAGGGATAAAAAAGAGGGATAAACAAACATGGAGAAGGGTGAGGAACTGTTACATGGCTATTTTCATTTTAAAGTTCTACTAGTCGGCACAATCGACACATCCAAAGTCATTTGTGACACTGCAACGCTGAACTGTCTTATCACCGCAGTTTCACGAGTCAGAAATAGCACCTAAATGCAAACACAGTCAGTTGATGCGGCAAACCATTCAGTGAAACAAGTGGAGCGAGGCTTCGGCCGACCATATGAGATGCAACGTGTCAGTGCCATCGCTTCCCACAAGCACATTTTATGCACTGCGCGTAGGCACCAAGAGCTTCTGGGGGCACCACCACGTGGTCCATCGCTCTTCGGCACAACCCCCACACACCAGTCTCACTTTTCTTCCGTGAGAAGCAGGTGCCAGCGATCGTATTCTTAATAATAATAATAATAATAATCTTGTATGCCTTAGCAGCTTGCTTTGTTCAGAAAAGTAAAAAAAAAAAAAACTAACAAAAAACAAAAAGGACGAATTGACAAACTGCACTGTTTTCTGTTTACTGCAGAAATGATCTAAAACGGCTTCATTGCTTCATTATAGAAACAGGTTCATTGGCTTCCTGTTCAAAACTGTAGAAATTTAGTTTGATAGTTCACCACAGCAAACGGCTTTCTAAAAAAATTACCATATAAAAGCAGCTAAATAAATGTATATGGTGCTGGGCAGGAATAGGGGGTAAGTGAAAACGGGAATTTATTTGTGACTGTAGGAAAGTATGATTACTCAAACATGCAATAATAAATCTAAATAGAAGTATGTGAAAGCTAATGATAAGGGAATATCATCACAACATGGTTAAAAGTGCAAGTTTATTTCGCCTAATATAACCCCTTTAATTAAGGTCCACATTCCCATGCTTCAGTGGGCTACAGCAAACATCCAGGACTGGACTGTGCTGCCCTGGGACTCAGCTCCAGATCTGGAACCAGGATCTATAAGGAGCTGGAAGATGCGTCACATCACACAGGCCCAGCACAGTGTGGGACTCAAACCATCCCTTCTCAAAAAACACTAACTTAGGTCCACCTTAACACCTTCATGACAGGCTTTGTTGGTTTATTTTCTGTGATGTTCGATGGAAAGTGTTTGGGAAAATACTGAAAATAGGCTCCATGAAATGAACTTGATGATACATAGACCATGATACGATACATATCTCGATACAGTGAGCTTTCGATTCAATACGATATATTTCAAAGCGATTCCATACAGTTAAATAAAATATAAAGGCTAAATCAAGGCTGTGATACTAAAAGTCTTTGTTAAACCACTTCTTGTGTGAAGTTCATATGAAACACAAACATTTTAATCATCAAAACTGTGAAAATGTGAAATGCGTCGCATAAATGAGTTTCCTTCCTTTGAACAGCAACAAAACTTTAGTAAAATATATCAAAAAATACTCTTGCCGACACATTGATATATCAGTCTCCAATATCGATACTGTATCATCACATTAAATACTGTGTGAGTTGTGTGATCCTTTGTGTGTCTTATTTTGTTTGTTTATTAATTGTTTTTATCTATATTTTAATTTTTTTAGTACTGCTTTTATGTATTGATTTTATTATTTTATTTGTTTCCTCATTTCCTTTTACACTGCTATGTGAAGCAGTCTTGTTTATAAAATGTGCAACACAAATAAAGTTGGATTGGACTGGATTAAACGATACGATATATAGATATTTCGATAGTTTTGCACAACCCTAGTAATTTGGGGTGTAACGATATCAAAGTCTCACGATACTTTAGCTTAACGGTATGAACCTCACAGTACGATATTTATTGTGACATCGTGGGAAAGCTCACAGATTAGGACTATGTAACAATATCCAAATCTCTCTGTACGATATTTTCACGATATACGGCTCAGGTACGATATTTATTGAAATATTTTGTGGAGTATAAGCAGCTAAAACTGTTAATATGCGACTTTTTCCTCTTAAAATGCCTTGACAAGACTTAACCCAAAGAACTAAGACTTAAAAGTGCTTAGAACTGTTATTTCTAGTTGTAGTCTGCACTGGAATGGAGCAAAGGATCATGGTCTATGTAGTTCTGTCTTTTTTTTTTTAGCTGTTCCTGCACCATAACTCTTAATTTAAGCAAAGACACTTGTAATTCGATATATTGTGATGGTCCACGATATTATTGTGAGAACTTTGACAATACGATATCACAATATTTTGGTTATTGTTACATCTCTACTAGTAATAAATAGTATTACAATCACCAGTGAACCTGCAAATAGACATATCTTAGTTTTTATTTTTTCTTATTCTCAGTTTATGGACATGCCAGTGAAAGCTCAGAACCTCCAGAATTCCCTCACTGAGCTGCAAAGGCTGCACTAGCACGGATTCATTACTGGGGATTAGTTAGTGACCATTCAGATCAGAGAGAGGCATTTTAGGGTTAAACCAATTAGATTTCAGCATCGAAACTAAGTCTCGTTCTGCTTTCAGATCGGATAAACGCCAAATTATATCGTCATGTCCAATGCTTTTTTTCTGTAACTAAGAATAAATCAGGATTACAATTGTTATCAGTAAAATCTATATTTGATTTGAACATGTTTACCTCGTATCTAGGGACACAGATAGGTTTTGATGTTCATAAATTTCACCTTAAACACGTTAAATACGCCTGACGTCCAAACGCCAAAACGATCACGTTACAAAACGGACTATACGCGCGATTTTACGCCATAACTCCTTCAACGCTTTCACCAACCGATAATTACATAAAGCTTTAACACAAACTGTCAAAGTATAAGGCTGCATTTACCGCGTTGACGAGTCCTGAAGCGTTAAAGTTGAAGAAAGTTTCCCTCGGCGGCACCTGTTGCTGGTTAAACCCACGTGTGTCGCTCCTGTCCGCGGCTCAGAGCGAGAGGAGCGGTGCGTCTCATCCGCATCCTCCTCCTCCAGTCAGTGTCCGCTCCGAGGATCCGAGGAGGAGACATGTCACGGCCGCCTCCGAGCCCTCCCCCGCCCGCGCGCTCGCTCTCTGTCACCGGGGCCATCGCAGAGAGCGGGAGGAGGGAGGTGGGAGGGGATGTTTGGTGCGTAAAAGGCGCGCGATGTGGAAACCGCGCGTAAATTCAAATGAGTTCCTGAAACGTAAAAGAATGCATATAGGCGATTATATATAGATAAATAATAAATAATAATCTTTCCCAGTTTTAGAGTTCTCCGGACTAGAGGCCTAGCCAGTCTGGCGCCACCTAGTGCCTCCACTCAATTTCATTTCTGTCCAGCGAGTAGGTCAGGAATCGGAATACACTAGACGGTTTGGAAAAGCCCCCAAAGTGCAAGTTCGGGCACAGGCCAATCATCCATCCATCCATTTGAAAAGTTTTTAAAGTTTGTTGCTCAGCATCTTCACTCACACCTGCTCAAGCTGACATCTTCGGGCGCTGGTCCTGTCCTGCCACTTCCCCAGTTTAGGCTCCTGGCTCCACTAATGACATCACTCTGTTACAGCCAATGAAATAGCAGGTGTAACCCTGTCGTCATATCACTGAACACATCTCAGAGCGTCTAATAAACAAAATGTGAACTAAAATGTGTTCAATTTATACTATTGAGTTTGGAAAAACATCAGAATAATTTTTTTATTTATTTTTTATAATTTTTTTATTAAAATAAAATGGCAAATATTGGTAGGGACTATTTTGTCTTCCTCAAATATTGGTTGTGACATGTCCCACCGTCCCTGTGCAAACCTACACACTTGTTCAGTAGTTGAGCAGAAATTGTCATTCCCAAGGCTTAAATGATCCAAATGATTCTAGTGAAGGTGTACAGAGTTTAAAAAACTGTGGAGTATTTCCTGTATTACCACATGACATCACAAAGTAGGGTAGGATGTTTTCATTTTGAGAGACAAATTCAGTCTAAATATGCAGGGTTTGTGGTGGTATCAAACAAAACACATCTCCAGGTTTGTTTGTGACAAAGAAATATAACATAGATCAGGAAATAGTGTAATATGGGCCCTTTAAAGATGGAGGGAACATCTGGTTGCTAAGAGACTAGAGTCGTCCGTCTGTTTGTGCAGAGGAGAACGATGAGAACAAGAATCAACCAAGAATCTATTCACTTAAGCAGGTCGTACACTGTGTGATTTTTGGCCTTTTTCAGACGATTTTTCACTTGTGCGGCTGTTTTTGAGATCGGGCCGAGTTGTGGCTTAATCTTGTGTCGTGCTTCGTGTAGTAAACATGGGGTAACAGAACCGATTAATACCTCACGACCAGCTCCTGATCGGCAATCGTAGGTCGCACGAATATCAATCCTGTTTGAATAATAATAATAATAATACGTTGGACTTATATAGCGCTTTTTTGGAAACTCAGACACTTAACAAACAATAAAAAATTGACACTATAGAAAATGGGGGAATCGTGGAGGGAATGCCAGTTTGAACAGGTGAGATTTTAGAAGTGATTTGAAGTGCTGCAGTGAGTCTAAGTTCCTGACGGATTGTGAGAGTGAGTTCCAGAGGGAGGGGGCAGCGGCGGTGAAGGCTCCGTCTCCCAAGGTCCAGTGCTTTGTCCTGATGAGGGGAGCGAGGAGGTTGGTGTCGGCTGATCTGAGGCAGCGGGTGGAATTTCGGACTTCCGGTCATTGCGCAATTCATACTGGGAAGGAGTTTCGTTCTGTTGAATCAGGTCGTATAGTGTAAGAACATGAATCGTGAGCTGTGAAGTTTTAAACCCTGTGATTTAGTAGAACAATTAGGGTTAGGGTGTGGCTGTAGTGAGCGGCTGAGTGAAACCATCGATAATATCGCACACTATATGTCCGGCATTAGTAAAGGCTTTTTTGGGGGGAAGTTCTGTGATGTAAACAGTATGTTGTTAAGGAAATCGATCACAAACAAGTGCAATCAGAGCTAGCAACTTGGTCCCCATGAGGCATCGGTGGGTCAGTTCATCAGCACAGAAGCAGCTTATGAGGAGCCCAGTCCTTATTACATGATCATTACATCCACAATGCAATGTGTGTATCTGTACAGGCCTATGAACATTTGTGTGATGTTGGTCACACATGACAATGTCTGTGTTTACTACCGTGTAACGAAAATGTAATTTTTCATGAGTTGCATATATTGTGTGACTGTAGATCAGTGTGTTGTGTATCACCAGAAAAAGAAGAAATGAAAATTATTTTTGTTCCAATTAGAATTTTAACGGCTACACTGAAAGAGAAAGGAACTGTTATAATTAGTGATTATCTGGAAAACTATTACTATTTTACTATACAATAGAATTGTATATATTGCATAGAATTATAAATAGATAATAATTTTTCTGAGATTTTGAGACCACTCCCATTGCTCGAACTCGACCAAAAACGCATATTTGACCTTGGTTACCTTGACCTTCAAGTGACCTTGACCGGTTTCAAACTGTAACATGCAGTGTACCCCGGTTATGTGTGTGCCAACTTGTGTGATGATTGGGTGAATATTTTAGCCGCAGATGGTTCAGAAATTGCTGAAATTACCTATCCTTTATAATGGTGTGACCTTTCAATTGACCCGTGTGACCTCAAATGACCTCGGATCGTCACCAAACTTTTTTCGCGGCACTGGGCACGAGGGCTTGACCCATGTACTAAATTTGGTGACAATCGGTCCATAAATGGTGGACAGAAACACAGACACACAGGGTGAATACAAAACCTGGTCAACCCTTCGGGACCAGGTAAAAATGACAAGATGAAATGTTAGATGGACATTTTTACACAGCGCTTTTCCCCCTTCAAAGCTCTTTACAGCAAGGAACCACTCACACATTCATACACCAGTGTACACAGACACTAGGAATGAGGTGGGTTAAGTGACTTGTCTAAGAACACAACAACAGTCAGTGTTGGGAAGGTGACTTTTAAAATGTAATCCCCTACAGATTACAGATTACACACCCCAAAATGTAGTTTGTAACGTAATCCATTAAATTACTTAAAGTGAGTAACGTAATCTGATTACTTTGGATTACTTGATATTGTCATGTTTTTTTTAAATGACATGAATGTAGCAACCACATCCTGAAAATTCTTGTTTGTTGTCTTCAAATTGTCTGAGCCCAAGTCTCCATGAATAAGCAACTGTTTGCTGTAGAGAAACAAAGACCACGAGATCTTAATATAAGAGGTTTTGTCTGTTAAAAGACAGTAACAAGATCAGCCTTTCCTTCACCAGATTAAAAAATATTATTGATAGAGAAATTATTTTTTATATGACCTGGTTAGTTCTGGTTTAGTTCTGGTTCAGTCCTGCTTTAGTCCTAGTTTAGTCCTGGTTTAGTCCTGATTTTAGACCTGGTTTAGTCCTAGTTTAGATCTGGTTCAGTCCTGCTTTAGTCCTAGTTTAGTCCTGGTTTAGTCCTGGGTTAGTCCTGGTTTAGTCCTGAGTTTAGACCTGGTTTAGTCCTAGTTTAGATCTGGTTCAGTCCTGCTTTAGTATTAAATTAGTAAGTCCTGCTTTAGTATTAAACCAGGTCTAAAATCAGGAGTAAACCAGGTCTAAAATCAGGACTAAACCAGGTCTAAAATCAGGACTAAACCAGGACTAACCCAGGTCTAGACCAGGTCTTTAGTTCTGGTTTAGTCATGGTTTAGTTCTGGTTTTAGACCTGGTTTAATCCTGAGTTTAGATCTGGTGCAGTCCTGGTTTAGTCCTAGTTTAGACCTGGTTCAGTCCTGCTTTAGTCCTAGTTTAGTCCTGGTTTAGTCCTGGTTTTAGTCCTGGTGTTAGTCCTGGTTTAGAGGCGCACAGGAGGAAGCACGGTTTACGCGAGAAAACACAGTCCACACGAGACGTCGGTGTCCGTGCAGTAACTACGGAAGGAAACGTGGTCCGCGGGTTCTCAGGTTGATGACGACGATGAAGGTGTGTGTTTGTGTGTGTTTGTGTTTGTGTGTGTTTGTGTGTGTTTGTGTGTGTTTGTGTGTGTTTGTGTGTGTTTGTGTTTGTGTGTGTTTGTGTGTGTTTGTGTGCACGTCCACTCATGTGGCAGGTCACTATAGGACAGTAGTGCAGATACTATGAGTCTATGCAGGTTGTTTTCACCAGTGCCAGTAGCTCCTGTTTCTGTTTGGGTTTCCGACAATGAGTGGAATTACCGAAATAAAAAAATAAATTAATGGGATGTAGCACAAAATGTGAAAACAGAAAAATACCGCCTTGTAATCCACTTATTTCAGCAAAGTAACTGTAATCCAATTGCCACTCATTGAAACAGTAACTGTAACGGAATACAGTTACCCATAATTTGTACTCTGATTACGTAACGGCGGTACATGTAATCTGTTACTCCCCAACACTGACAACAGTATCCATCTGTGGGAGGTAGAATCGCATCTCCAACTTTAGACAAGGGAAATTACATCATGTCCAGACCCGCCAAAGGAATTTTTAACTTCTTTTTTTAACTTTGTACATAAATAAGTTGTTTTAGTTTGTTTCTAAACAGTCATCTTGGTGTTTAGTTTTCTCTGCAGACTCTGAGTCCCGGCGCAGCATTAGCGTTGGCTGTGATGTCATGTGTGCAAATGGGACAGTGAGGAGCTCAGATCCGGTTTCACTTCACCACAAACTCTCTCTGACTTTATGCATGTTCATTAAACATTCACACTTCCTGTTTTCTCCTGCTCCATGTTTACTTCAGATTTTCTATTTGGATTTGGGCTACTCAAAATATTTATCTGGTCTTAAAGTCTCTTCCCCGGTGGAGTGTGCTCATGTCCATGGGGATGTTATTGCTTTGGAGATTTGGAAATCGTCTCTTGACCGTCAGTTTTTGCCTCACAAACTTTGGGAACCACATAGTGCACCGATCCATACTTTGGCCTGCTGACCGCTATAGGCTGTTCAATTATTCATGATTTATATGAATCATTCTCGCTGTATTGTGGTTG